CTCTCTCTCTCACACACAGATACCTCTTCACACACTCAGACTCATCCCCTGCACATACTCACCAACACGCAGATACATTCCCCTGCACACAGGTTCACGCACAGATTCACACACACACACACACACCCTCACGTTCACACATTGCCCCGCAGAGACAAGCAGACTCAAAAAGAGATATACATGCACTCACACAGTCACACACACACACACAAACCCCCACCCTGCCCACTATCAGTAAGGTGTGGCGTGAGCAAGGAGGGGGAGGGGAGAGGGGAGGCGCAGGGCTATGACCCTGGGCACCTGGGACTTGTGGGCGAGGAGGGAGCGGTGAGGGTGCTGAAGACAGAGTGGGCACCGGGACAGGAGAGGTCAGTTACCTGATGAACGTTTGATCAGGGCTTCACCCCCTCACCCATCTCCTTCCTGTCTCCCCTTGGACACAGGTGCCTCCCTGGGGCCCAGGGTGGGCTGGGAGACAGCCCCCAAATGGGGTGCCTCCAGGTCTTTCAGGGCACGATACACGCAGCTTGTGGCTCTCAGGTCACGGTCACTGCCGGCCTTGCAGACTGGTCTCAACATTGACCATACCATCTCTACGTTGACACAGTTCCTGCAAAATTGACCATACCATCTCTATGTTGACACACAGATCCTGCGCGGTGCCAGCACTTGCTCTGGACTGTCCCCCGCCAAAAACAACAGCGGGCAGTTAGAACCCGTCTATTCAGTCTGAACGCCGAGCAAGCCGTCGGAGAAGCAGGATGATCAGAAGGACGCGCAGCGTCAGGATCGGAGGAAGGTTTATTAACAACAGACGAGACCACCTGGCTTGCAGAAAGCGAGGAGGACTCGAAGCACCTGCTGATGAAGATCCAGGATCGCAGCCTGCAGGACGGATCGCAGCTCATCGCAAAGAAGACGGGACTCGGGGTAACTTCATGATCAGTGGAGAAAGGTCGGAGCGGTCCAGGAGTTTGTCTTGCTTGGCTCCGCAATCCGTGCTCATGGAAGCAGCCGTCAAGAGACCATGCGTCCCACTGCAGTAGGTCAAGCTGCATAGGACCTCTTTCAAGTGCTCAGGGGCACGGGTGTGACTTTGAGGACTCGGGTGCTCCTGGCCCATGGCGTTTTCAATCGCCCCAGAGGCTGGAAGGAGGGCAACAGTGGGGAACCGGGCGCATCTGAAGGATGTGCTGGCACAGGGTCCTGAAAGTGCGCGGACGGCCAAAAGAACAAAGAGATCTGTCTCGGAAGAGGTGCAGCCAGAACGCTCCTCAGAGGTGGGGACGGCGGGACTTCATCTCCTGGACTTGGGCACGTTGTCAGGAGAGCCCAGTCCCTGGGGAAGGACGTCGTGCTTGGTAACGTGGCGGGGCAGCGAAGGAGCCGAAGGTCTTCCACGGATGGACGGACAGTGGCTGCCACCAGAGCCTCAACCGGAGGGACCATCGTGAGGCTGGAGCGGGCCGGGTGGTGTTTTGTTCCATTGTACATCAGGTCACCTTCCAGGGGACATCCATACCTGCAAGGGGGCCTGCGGTGGAGGTAGGGGGCATCTCTTGCCAGCTCCACATTCCGTGAACTCTGCCCTCGTGGGGAGTTATGCTCTGGGAATGGGCGAACCTCGCACCTCAGTTCACCCCCTCCTGGCGAGCCGGCTGCTAGCCAGCACACCTGCCTGCCTCTCCAGGGTCTCACGGCAGGTGACCGGTTGGGTGCAGTATCTGTCCCAGGGCACCGTTCTGTGTCCCCGCCAGCGTGCGTCCAGCTTGTTGGGGTGTTATGGTCCAGCCGGTGTCTGCTCAGTCTTGGGCACGGCCCAGTCAGGCCCTGGCTCACCCCCCGCCCCCACCTTTGGGCTCGGTCCAAACACAGTGCTGCCCAACACCCCCTCCGGGTGCTCAGCTCCCAGGAACCGCAGGACAATTAAGCTAATTGCCTCTCAGACTCCTGTGCCCCTGAGGGCGCCATGCAGAGCCCAGGGTCCCCAGGCCAGGCAATGGGAGGGAGGCTGGCGGCAGAGGCTGGGCGCTGGGCCATCTCCCCACCTCCATGGACGGGCAGGCAGGACAGCTTCCAGGCAGGTGGGAGTAGTGGTTGAGAAGCAGAGACAGTGGCCCCTGGACACACTACCCTGGGTGTGGGGTCCCTGCCCTCCTGGGGCACTGGCTTTGGGGTGGGGGGTGGTCCACTTCTCTGACCCGGGCCCAGTGCCACTGGTCTTGCTGGGTTCCTGTGGCCATCGCATGATAGCAGGCTTGGGACACACGGAGAAGGCAGATGGGCTCACTGAGGGCCCCGATGTGCATATGCCAACCACAAACATGACCACTGAATCCCAGTGACCGAGGGGGTGGATATCAGGAGCCTCACGTCACCAAGGGGACATCAGGCCGAGGGTGACCGTCTTCATGCTCCGGAGTCCCTCACTTCCTCTGTCATGTCCCAGTAGGACCCCGAGGGCTCTGTGCCACCTGGCCGTTCAGCTCCCAGCTGCCCATCTGACCCCACCCCAGGTGTGGTTTTAGTTGCATAACAGGTTACGTGTTGGGCTGACACTCCAAAGGACAGCAGTTCGAAACCGCCAGGGACCCTGTGGGAGAAAGACGAGGCTTTCTGCTCCCATCAAGAGTTATCGCCCTGGAAGCCGGGGCAGTTCCACCCTGTCCTGCAGGTCCGCGGTGAGCGGGCATGGACTCTTGGCTTCAGCCAGGTGAGGAGTCCGCCCTGTTCACGGTGAGCCTTATCCAATCAGCGGAAAGCCGGAAGAGCAGGCTTGGAGGCTCCCTGGCACCCCG